TCGAGCACACGACGATTTCCACAAATGGCATAAACATGCATGTGGCTTCGATTGGTTCAGGTCCAGTGATCCTCTTCCTCCATGGATTCCCTGATCTCTGGTACTCATGGCGCCACCAGCTTCTCTCTTTCGCCGATTTAGGTTACCGCGCAATCGCTCCGGATCTCCGAGGATACGGCGATTCCGACGCACCTCCGTCTCACGAATCTTACACTGTCCTTCATATCGTCGGAGATCTCGTCGGATTACTGAATTCGCTCGGTGTTGACCAGGTTTTCCTCGTCGGTCACGATTGGGGAGCAATCGTCGCGTGGTGGCTCTGTATGATCAGGCCTGATCGAGTCAAGGCTCTAGTCAACACGAGCGTTGTGTTTAATCCGAGGAATCCTTCTGTGAAACCTATTGATACGTTTAGGGCTTTGTTCGGCGATGATTACTACATCTGCAAGTTTCAGGTCAGACTTAGATTGAAATTATAAGGGTATTGCTGAATAGAAGATAACCTAGGATTTTATGATTTACAAGTCAATGAGAACTAGCTTTGATGATTCTATCTTCTTTTGTTGCATAGTGTTGAGTATAGATTAGGCTAAGTCAATATATATGTTGGAATTAGGAACTGTTACTTCATGGATCTTAATCATTTCTCATATTTGACTATCATCAACAAGAGATTTGTTACTAAACTGATTGAGATTGATATACATAAGTGAGTGATTCTCCAGGTAGTGATATTACATCGATTACTCTGATGCTGCTTGTAGAAAAGTTTGAGCTTTGTATGTGACAATGTATCAGAAATGGGAAATTTCTCAAAATCAGTCACCATTAATTTCTGTTTGGAACTATGGAAGCAAGGACCATCACCTACTCAGTCTCTGATATGCAAGTTGCATTTGATAATTTGAAAAGGGCAATAGTGTTTGCTTTTAATAGAGTCAAGTGAAAGTCAATTTCTTGTATTTTATTTGGGTAATTGGTTGGTTTTGAGTAAATGCAAGATTAGGATCGGTTTTTGTGGTTTTCCATTGCTTAAATTTGGTCCCTACACTTATGAGTAAGAGTTTCTTTTGTCAGGAGCCTGGAGAGATTGAAGAAGACTTTGCTCAAACTGATACAAAGAACTTAATAACCAGATTTTTCACTTCTCGTGATCCACGTCCACCTTGCATTCCAAAGACAATTGGCTTCAGAGGTTTACCTCCTCCACCTGCTTTGCCCGCTTGGTTCACCGAGGAAGACGTTAGTTTCTATGCAGACAAGTTTAGTCAAAAAGGCTTCACCGGTGGACTAAACTACTATCGCGCTATGAACCTGTAAGTCTTATCAAATCTAGCCACTACTTTAACATATCATACATTTATCTTCTCATTGCTTAATCTTGGACCCTGAATCTGATCCGTAGAAGCTGGGAACTCACGGCTCCATGGGCCGGTCTACAAATCAAGGTTCCTGTGAAATTCATGGTTGGTGATCTAGACATTACATACCATATACCCGGAACAAAGGAATTCATACATGAAGGCGGTTTAAAGAAACACGTACCATTTCTACAAGAAGTTGTGATAATGGAAGGTGTTGGTCACTTCCTTCAACAAGAGAAGCCCGACGAGGTCACTGACCATATCCATGGCTTCTTCAAGAAATTCTGAGCCTTGGAGTAGTGCTTCTCTTTACAATGTTGGTTAAGCCCGGTCAAGGTTAATGTCTTGTTTTGTCTTAAGCCTGCTTGGGTTTGAAGGATGAAACTGTGTTCTTTTACTTGTTTAATAATTCGAAACATCCCTATAAATAAAGCAATTTCTTTAAGTATTTTTATTCCAATAATCCACGACTTTTCTTCGATCCATAATAGTTTTAATTTTAATATTCCTATGGTACCTAGAATTTATGTGTGTTTTACTAAGTACTCATGGGTATTAAATATGTTTTCTGTTAAAAATAATTAAATATCGGAGGACATTTATATACCTAGTAAATAAAAAAAGAAAAATCTATTTACCATTTTAGTAGTTTCATGATTGGATGAATTGATATAACTTTCTCTTTGTTTTTGGCAGGAAATATTTTAAGTAATTTCCATAAAGAAGAATAATTCACAATTGAGGAGGCAAGTCCAAGTCAGAGAAAAACCACTCCGCTTTTGAAAAGACAAAAACACCCTCGTCTTCTTCCGTCGCACCGCTTCTACAGCTAATGTCATTTTAGTCAAAACCACAATTCTCCACCAAATCGATTTGGTTTGTCCAAATCCAAAAACTCCTCCTCCCTCTTCTTCGCTGTACGCTTTTTTCCCCTAAAAACCAAATCGGAGAAAAAATAATAATAATGCAATCATCGAAAGTACGGCGTAAAGTGGGTCCCACAACAGCCGGAACCGGTATAGACTCGGCGGAGAAACTCGACGAACTCTTGATATCTTCTGCGATTTGTAACGGCGAAGATTTGGGACCGTTTGTTCGGAAAACGTTCGGTACCGGAAAACCAGAGACTCTTCTTCACCATCTCAAGTTTTTCGCACGATCTAAGGAATCAGAGATCGAAGAGGTATGTAAAGCTCACTATCAAGACTTTATTCACGCCGTAGACGATCTCAAGTCGCTTCTCTCAGATGTTGAATCTCTCAAATCTGCGCTTTCCGATTCGAATTCCAAACTCCAATCTGTCGCTGCTCCGCTTCTCTCGTCTCTTGATTCGCTTGTTGAAGCCCAGACTGTTTCGAAGAACGTCGATCTGGCGATTGGAGCCGTCACGCACTGTGTTCGTGTCATGGAACTTGTCTCTCGAGCAAATCAGCATCTCCAGAGCGGGAATTTCTATATGGCGTTGAAGTGTGTGGATTCGATTGAGAGTGATTTCATGGAGAAAACTCCTTCTTCGACGCTGAAACGGATGCTTGAGAAGAGGATTCCGGCGATTCGATCTTATGTTGAGAAGAAAGTGAGCAAAGAGTTTGGAGATTGGTTGGTTGAGATCCGTGTGGTGAGTCGAAATTTGGGTCAATTAGCTATTGGTGAAGCTTCTGCTGCTCGTCAGCGAGAGGAAGAGCTTAGAATCAAGCAGAGACAAGCAGAGGAGCAGAGTAGACTCAGTCTACGCGATTGCGTCTACGCGTTAAATGAAGAAGAAGACGATGAATTCGGTTCTGGTCCTGAAAGCAGTGATGCTGGTAGTTCCGGTGGTGGATTGCTAGGTTTTGATTTGACTCCCCTGTATAGAGCTTATCACATTCATCAGACACTATCTCTTGAAGATCGTTTCAAGCAGTATTATTTCGAGAATAGGAAACTTCAGCTTACTTCTGATTTCCAGGTATCTTCTATGACTCCTTTTCTCGAGTCTCATCAGACGTTTTTCGCACAGATTGCTGGGTTTTTCATTGTAGAGGATAGAGTTTTGAGAACTGGAGGAGGTTTGATTTCGAAGCTTGAGGTCGAGAATTTGTGGGATACTGCTGTTATTAAGATGTGTGCTGTGTTAGAGGATCAGTTCTCTAGGATGCAGACGGCGAATCATCTCTTGTTGATTAAAGATTATGTGAGCTTGTTAGGTGTGAGTCTACGAAGGTATGGTTATGCGGTTGATTCCCTTCTCGAAGTATTGAGCAAGCACAGGGATAAATATCATGAGTTGTTATTATCTGATTGCCGTAAACAGATCACAGAAGCTTTATCAGCAGATAAGTTTGAGCAGATGTTGATGAAGAAAGAATATGAGTATTCTATGAATGTGCTCTCTTTCCAGTTACAAACATCAGATATAGTACCGGCGTTCCCTTACATTGCTCCGTTTTCAACCACCGTGCCAGATTCTTGTCGGATTGTGCGGTCTTTTGTTGAGGATTCTGTTAGTTTTATGTCTCACGGAGGTCAGCTTGATTTCTATGATGTTGTGAAGAAGTATCTGGATAGGCTTCTAGGGGAGGTTCTCGACGAGGCTCTGTTGAAGCTGATTAACACATCGGTGTATGGAGTTTCTCAGGCAATGCAGGTTGCAGCAAACATGGCCGTGTTTGAGCGTGCTTGCGATTTCTTCTTCCGTCATGCAGCACAGCTTTCAGGAGTTCCTTTGAGAATGGCGGAAAGAGGTAGGAGACATTTCCCATTGACTAAAGCCCAAAACGCTGCAGAAGATACACTCTCGGGATTGCTTAAGAAGAAGATAGACGGATTCATGACATTGATCGAGAATGTCAACTGGACAAGCGACGATACCCCACAAGGTGGGAACGAGTACATGAACGAAGTATTGATCTACTTGGAAACTTTGGTCTCAACCGCGCAGCAGATATTACCCGCTAAAGTCCTGAAAAGGGTTTTACGCGATGTCCTAGCTCACATTTCCGAGAAAATCGTTGGAACATTATGCGGAGATCTAGTGAAAAGATTAAGCATGGCTGCAATCAAAGGACTTGATGTGGATATTCAGTTGCTGGACTCTTTTACCGAACAACTAACTCCATTGCTCACGGATAAAGAAGCTAGAGAGATGAAAAAAGCTTTCGTCGAGATAAGACAGATGATCAATTTGCTATTGAGTAGCCATCCTGAGAATTTCGTTAACCCGGTGATTAGAGAAAGGAGCTACAACGCCTTGGATTACAGGAAAGTCGCAACGGTGTCCGAGAAATTCAGAGATCCATCAGATAGTATTTTCGGGACATTTGGAACAAGAGGATCGAGGCAAAACCCGAAGAACAAATCGTTAGACGCGTTAATAAAGAGATTGAAA